CTAAACCCTCCAAGATCCGCACGCCCAAAACCTGTTCAGGTTTTGGGGTTTATAGGGCTTAGGGTTTAGGACCATGAAACCCGAATTCAACCCTTAACCAGCCGTCCTGAACTTTGGGGATGTATCCCCTGTGAGCCAAGGCACCGCCCATGGCACCGTGACAAAGGAGCAGTCTGCCCCTGCCCTTGGGTACTAAACGAACCCGCCGAGGGTTGGGTTCTAGGTCGTATAGTGCATATGACGCTACATGATCCCCAGTATACCCCAGCAGTCAGTCCACAGGGACTGTTTTAGAAGACTTTCTCGTTGCGGCGTGCAAATTTGCCAAGTGCTTGAAGGTTCATGGTACTTACTAACCAATTATAACTGTACTTATAACCCTACTTATAATACCCCTAAAGGGCCTTATAGGGGTTATCCCAATTATAAGTAGGGTTATAAGTACAGTTATAATTGGTTAGTAAGTACCATGAACCTTCAAGTGGTGTTGTTTTCCCAGACCTTGGACAAAACCGAAGCCAAGCTCCTGGAACTTCGGAAATACAAGTCCGGGCCATTGCTTTGCTGCCTGCCTGAACCCTAGTCCCTGAACCCCAAACCCTAGTCCCAAACCCTAAACCCTAAACCCTAAACCCTAAACCCTAAACCCTAAACCCTAAACCCTGAGCCCTGAGCCCTGAGCCCTAAACCCTAAACCCTGAGCCCTGACTTCTTCGGGCACAGAAAATCAAAGGTCGCGACCTCTCAGAGTCGGCTACGCAGGTAAGTAGCGGAAACAAGTGTCGGCCGGTCACTGTAGTGGTCGGAAGAAGCCATCTTTTCCCTTATGGTCCGTACTATAGTAACCCCCCCAAACCCTAAACACTAAACCCAAACCCTAGACCCTAGACCCTAGACCCTCGGCTCTAGGCCCTAGGCCCTAGACCCTAGACCCTAGACCCTAGACCCTAGACCCTAGACCCTAGACCCTAGACCCTAGACCCTAGACCCTAGACCCTAGACCCTAGACCCTAACCGCCCCTACATTATTTCATTCAGCCATTTAGGCCCCTATATCACCAACATGGTCCAAGGTTGGCAACCGCAGATGCCGCGTGCTTTCTATAGCCATCCCTTTGTGGTTGGGTTTAGGGTTTAGGCTGTTGGGTTTAGGGTGTAGGGTTTTGGGGGGCGAGTGTCACGACTAGATTGCGCAAAGCGACCATTTGATTTTCGCCGGGCGTGCGAGTAGCTGTGAGGCACACAGGTGTGTCTTGTTATTGTTTGACCTCACTGCCAAAGACAGCGGACCAACAAAAAGTTACCTTGCGGCCCCAAGCCTGCAACCCCATCCTCAGTCGTAAGAACCCTAAACCCTAAGCCCTAAGCCCTAAACCCTATAAACCCTATAAACCCTATAAACCCTATAAACCCTAAACCCCTAAACCCCTAAACCCCTAAACCCCTAAACCCTAAACCCTAAACCCTAACCAAAGGTGGCCTTTAAGCCCCCTAACACCAAACCCTCGGTGAGGTTTCGGCCATTTCACATGACAAGCTGGACAAGCTGGCCACCACCCACACTCTGCCTAAAGAAATTAGAGGATAGCGTGTTTAGGGTTTAGGGTTTAGGGTTTAGGGTTTAGGGTTTAGGGTTTAGGGTTTGGAGCTCACGTTTTTCGGGCTCAGGGTTTCGGATACCCAGAAGAACCCCTTTTTGCAGGGCTCAAGTTTCGTTGGCGAACTTTTACTCTTCTTCAGTTGCGGTACAGCCCGGGACCCTTTTGTACCTTACGACCCCCAACCCTGAAGTCATAACCTGGGAGCGTCAGAATAGCTGGGACCTGAATACCCACCCCCCCACTCCCAACCTCGATTCTCACAACGCTTTCCGTGTAACCCACGGTAATCAGATGCATGTGTTTGCGGAGCTGGGCGGTTGTTTTGATGTTGTACGCTGTGGGCGCAATCAAATCGCCGAAAGATGTGTGACAGTTGAACCCATGTCTCATGTGTCGCAAACCGCAACCTCCTGACATTGTGAGCATCAGCCTTTTGCCCACGGCTACCTGCTGGCGTGGGAGACATAGCACGTACACCACGGGCCGCGGGGGGCGCAGGTGCTGGGTGTGGTTGTGGTCGCTGCAGGCGTTGGCATATGCACGTGGCCAGGGCCCCAGGCAGTTTTGTAATGGGTCTTAGGATGCTAACCGACTGTAAAAAAACCCCAAGCCCCCCGCTGGAATTCACGGCTTCAGAACATTTCTTCCTTGGGGGACGAGTCCTTCTGAAATTATGGGTTTAACTAGAGTTTTTGGGTTTGCGGTTGTAGGGTTTGTAAGTTTTAGGCCGTTAAGGGTTAAAGAACTCATGTCAAGTTTCTATATATATACATATACATATACATATGTATGTATGTGTACATACATGTATATATTATTTGTTTGTTGTTTTTTTGTACACACGACGTCCTTGTTTAGAGCTAAACCAAGTTGCCATGACATGGGTATAGGCCACAAGCTATTCACAGAGTGTCGGTCTTGCGGCAACCATCAACCCTAATAGCCTCACCCCTCAATTTCACGGATTCCTTCATGAGCACGTAGGATATTTAAAACTGGGAACCGGAACACCCCAGGAATATAGTAGGAATGCCTACCAGGGGCCTGATATTCCTTTGATATTCCTACCATTTGGCATGTCCCCGCTTGTACTACCAGTCCTTACTAGGGATTGTAGTACCCCCGATTAGAATCCCTATGAATGAAACCATGAATCCCTGAAACCCTGAAGCCCTGAAACCCTGAAACCCTGAAGCCCTGAAACCCTAAACCCTAAACCCTAAACCCTAAACCCTGAACCCTAAACCCTAAACCCTAAGCCCTAAAGCAGAGCTGAAGCTTTGGGCGGTTTAGGGGGCTTATGGTTTGCCTAGGCTCACGCTAAGGTTTACCGAGGACCCTGAGCCCTAAACCCTAAACCCTAAACCCGGAACCCTAAACCCTGAACCCTGAACCCTGAACCCTAAACCGTAAACCCTAAACCCTCCTCCGCCAAAATCCTCGCACGCCCAGGCCGAACTTGGTGGGTGCTGATGGCGAGTTAGTCGGAGCAGCCCGCACCTCAGAAGCCTTGACTCACCCCTAAGCCCTGAAGCCCCAAACCCTGAACCCCAAACCCTAAACCCTAAACCCTAAACCCCCCTAAACTCAAACCCGAAGCCGTTCCTCGGGGGTGGCCGCCTCGAAGAACCTTCAATGTCGAGCTCATGAAGGCTAAGACTGCGACCTTTAGCTCCCACTTGGAGGTTCATGGTACTTAGTAGCCCAATCATAGCTGTACTTGTAACTGGTTTAGGGATTAGGGTTTAGGGTTTAGGGTTTAGGGTTTAGGGTTTAGGGTTTAGGGTTTAGGGTTTAGGGTAACTGTACGTATAACTGGACGTATAGCCACAGTAGGGCACTTAAAAGGCTTATGCGTGGGTTATAAGTACAGTTATAAGTGGTTAATAAGTACCATGAACCTCCAAGCAGGGGTGGCACTGGTTCAAGATAGCATGAGCCATGGAGAGCATGAGCCGAGCTCGAGGACCAACCTCCTAAGTGGTTTAGGGTTTTAGGGTGTTAGGGTTTTAGGCTTTCAGGGTTTTAGTTTTAGGGTTTTAGAATTTTAGGGTTTTAGGGTTTTGGGGTTTTGGGGTTTTGGGATTTTGGGGTTTTGGGGTTTTTGGGTTTTGGGGTTTTGGGGTTTTGGGGGTTTGGGGGTTTGGGGTTTTGGGGTTTTGGGGTTTTGGGGGTTTGGGGGGGTTTGGGGTTGGGGGTTTGGGGGTTTTTGGGGGTTTGGGGTTTTTTGGGGTTTTGGGGTTTTGGGGTTTTGGGGTTTTGGGGTTTGGGGGTTTGGGGGTTTGGGGGTTTGGGGGTTTGGGGGTTTGGGGGTTTGGGGGTTTTGGGGTTTTGGGGGTTTGTTTTTTGGGGTTTTGGGTTTTAGGATTTTGGGGCTTCGGGGTTTTAGGATTTTGGGGCTTTGGGTTTTTTTTTTTTTTTTTTTGGGGGGGGGGGGGGGGAGGGTTGGGGTTTTGGGGATTTTTGGATGTTTCGGAGATTTAGGGGTTTTTGGGTTAAGAGTTTAGCTAGGCGGCCAGAAACTCAAGCCGGGTCTGCGCGCTGCCGCCTGCAATGCAAAGCTCCAGCGCTTGCCATCTTTCGAGAGAAGGCCCTCGCCCTCATTCCCGCCAGCCCCCGCTGTGGCCTGGGCCGCGTACGAACAGTTTTCAGCGGGGTCAAGCTGCACTGCACAGACCGTTTTTCAGCATGGTCAAGCTGCACTGCAGCAGAGCTACAGGGGCGTGTTTCAGTTGCCCTAAGGGTCCATGTACCCCAAAGGTATATACCTTGGGCCTACTGCGACTTTAATAGGATCCCTTTAAGGCCCAAGTATATACTCTACAGGTACATGGACCCTTTGGTATTCAACTGGAAGCCACCTCAGAAGGATGTAACGCCACTTCAACCCGCGTGCAGGCGGATCATCGGCAAAGGCCGTCAGCATGTCAGCGACACTGGCCGCTAAGCCAGAAATCTACTATGAATCACCCAGATCAAGGAGTTTTTCGCCAAAGGCCGTGGCGCTGTCTGGGGCTTAGAAGGTTCAGGTTTTACCTAAACCCTGAACCCGAAACCGCTTTAGAATTTAGGGGTATAGGGTTGGGGCTGAGATTGGGAAGTCTTGGATTAGGGTTTGTGGTTGAGGGTCAAAGGCTGCAAGTCTTTCTCACGAGCCCTACAGTACGCGCTCCTTAAACCTGTAAGGGAAAGTAGCATATCGTAGAGATCCAAAGCCCAGAAGAAAGATCATGTGCTCAAGCCCCCGGACTAGGGTTTTGGTTCAGGGTTTCTGGATTTGGGCTTTTTAGGGTTTAGGGTTCAGGCAGCTTCTCCAAACCCTAAACCCTAAACCCTAAACCCTAAACCCTAAACCCTAAACCCTAAACCCTAAATTACGAACTCCTCGAACCCTCTGAGGCCTTCAATGGCAGCGGGCACGTCTTTGCTGCTCTCGGCCTGTTCCTCTCCTACGCCTTCATCGCTCTGTCGCTGGTGCTGAAGGACTACGAATTACTTGACCCCCCCCCCCCCCCCCCCGGGAAAAAAAAAGCAAAAACAAAGTCTGTTCTTCCTTATAGTATAGGGGATTCGTGTATGCTTTTTTTTTTTTTTGGGGGGGGGGGGGTTTTAAGTCTTTTTTTTTTTTTTTTGGGGGGGGGGGGGGGGGGGGGGCCGGGTCTTAAGGAAATAGTAGAGAACGCTTGGGTTGAGGGCTTGAAGCTGCAGGCGGTGCCTGGGTTTAGGGGCCAAGGCTTGGTACCCTACCCCCCCCCACCCCCCCCCTCCCCCCCCCCCCACACCCTAAACCCTAAACCCTAAACCCTAAACCCTAAACCCTAAACCCTAAACCCTAAACCCTAAACCCTAAACCCTAAACCCTAAACGTTCGGTGCTGGCTTGTGCGTGTGTTTGTGTTGCGTTCCAAAGTTCAGTTGTTGATGAGTTTTCAGGTGAAACCCTAAGCCCTGACCCCTAAACCCTAAATCCTAAACCCTAAACTCCTGGTCTAAGCAGAGGCTGCGCCCCTCTTCATGGGATCCCCCGGGGGTACGAGGCTTCCCCACAGAAGAGTTCCCAGAATGAGGGACGAGCAAAGATCGTGCAGCTTAGGGCCTAGGGTTTAGGGCTTGGGGCTTAGGGTTTAGGGTTTCGGGTTTAGGGTGTAGCATTTAGGGTTAAGGGTGGAGGTTCTGGGCTCAGAAGAAGTGGCCAGAAAGGGATCAGTACGGCTCACTAGGGCTTACTTGGCAAGCCGGGGTATTCCTTTGTACGGGACAACTCTAGAGATCCTGCATTTTATGCACATTCACGGCATAAGCGGGCTGGCGAGGTGCGAAGGTATGAAATGCGTCTTTGAGGAGTGGGGATTTACGAAGTTAGGAGACCCCGAATACAGATCCCCAAATCGTAGGATCCCCTTAAAATAGGACCCAAGGAAGGTACCTTTTTTCGGAAACCCCCGCGTGAGTGTACCAGGAAGGTACACACGAGGCCAGGAAGGCCAGAGTGAGTGCGCCAGCAAGGTGCCATGGTGAGGCTGCCAGTGGGCTCAGTAGCTGAGTGGGCACACACCTTTTTGGGGGTACCATCATCTCCTATAAGAACTGAAAGTATACACCTTTTTGGGGGCACTATCATCTCCCATAAGAACTGAAAGTATACACATTTTTGGGGGGCTTATGGCTTATGAGCTTGGCAACGAAGTGGGCCAGGGCAAGCCAAAGGCTTGCAATTTGTTTCTGGGACCCAGAGTAGGCCCTGATTCCGCTTTTTTGGAGGGGGCTTAGGCTCCTTTAGAAGCCCCTTTTAAACCCAGAAAAGGGTACACTTTCTTTTTCGTGTTCCTAGGTGACTCTTTGGTCTAGTTTTTTTATTTTCAACCCAGTCGGGTCTGGCGCTGCATGCCACATCTTTCGGTTTTGATTCGAGGGGGCCGCCGCGTAGCAGCCAAGGCTGGAGTTGGGGTTTAGGGTTTAGGGTTTAGGGTTTAGGGTTTAGAGTTTAGGGTTTAGGATTTAGGATGTTTAAGGTTTAAGGGGTTTAGGGGCAAGGGCTTATTTGTTATCGTTGCAGATGCAGCGGCAATGCCGGGAACATCAGCACAAAAGCTCTGCCAGCACAACTTCGCAGCCTGAGATTTTGCTGTAACCCTGCAGGGTTTTGGGTTTGGGGTTTAGGGTTTAGGGTTTTAGGATTTGGGTTTTAGGGCTCATGATCCACCACTGCGCCCTCAACCCTATGCATGAAAAGCCCCTAGCCCCGGCAAGGAGCTGTCTTTCCAGCTCTTCAAGCGCTGGCGCAAAGAAAGGAGTGAGGAAAGCGATGAGGCTTGCAGCATCTCAAACTCAGGCTTCGGGGTATACAAGGGGTATATGAGGGTTCCCATTAAGGGCCCAGATTAAGGGACCATGCAACTACTCCAAGATTGCAGCTCCCCCTCCCGCCCCAAGGCACCCAATCTAAACCTTAGACTTCACAGCTGTGCAATTTCAGTCTGGGGGGGTGTACTCCCGAAGGTTATTAAATAGGCGCATGAAGCAGTTTAAGGAAAAGGCCGGAGTGTCATGCAGACTTCCCATGAAGATGTTTCACAGAGGCTTTGAAAGAACGTCGCCAATCCAGGGAGTGCCAAGTCCGAGTCACAGGTGGCCTCTACGACTCCCTGGTTCTTAGGAGGGAATGAGGGAATGAGGGCCCTACATAATCCCTTAAAGGGTATATATAGGGCCCTCATTCCCTCATTCCATACTAAGAACCAGCCAGACGAGCTGTCTTGCAAGCAAGGCTGGGTTGCAGATCCGTGGAATGTCCAGAAGCCGGAGCGAATGCAGATGAAGATGTGGAGGGTGTGTGCAAAGGGTGGAGGACGACTAGGACATGCTGGTTCTTAGTAGGCAATGAGGGCATGCAGCACCCTATATCTCCCCTCAATATATATATATATATATATATATATATATATATATCTATATATATATATACACACACAGATATATAGATATATATATATATATACATACATACCTTTTCAGTGATTCTGCAGGATACCTAGCTCCCCTGATCCCTAGTAAGAACCAGGGGGCAGTAAGCTGCTGAAGCATTGTTGGCAGTGCCGAGGCAGGTCTTCAGCATGGAATTGTTTGACAGAGGGTTCTTAAGGGTTTAGGATTTAGGGTTTAGGGTTTAGGGTAAGGGGGGTTCACGGGAATAGGTACCTAGGGAACTTTAGGGAAGCTTTAAGAGCCCTTAACGAGTAGTGGGAGTGTTAGGGAACCATGGGCTACATACCCCCCTAGAACCCCCCGTCCCTGATGAACCCCATCAGACTGAATAGGGCCGATGTCTTCTCGTGGTCACGGGCCGCATGAGGACGCGTCCGGGGTTATAAGGCCCATAAGCCTTATAAGTCCTATAGAACAAATGTAAGCCCTGTAAAGCCCCACACATCCTAGAAACCATACAAGGTTTTAAACCCTTAGCCCTAGTGGGTTTCGGGTTTCGGGTGTCCGGCGTGCGAGGGAGAGCTAAACCTCGAGATGGTGAACTTTGCCACCGCCATGTGGCAAGGGCCGGGACCCCAGAAGTTTGAGGGGTTGACTTCCGGAGCCCTAAATCCTATATCCTAAACCCTATACGCCCTAAACCCTAAACCTTATATAAACCCTAAACCCGAACACTCGAAACCTTAAACCCCCTAAACCCTAGACCCTGTACCCTAAACCCCCCCCCCAAACCCGACACCCTAGACCCTAGACCCTAGACCCTAGACCCTAGACCCTAGACCCTACACCCTAAACCCTAAACCCTAAACCCTAAACCCTAAACCCTAAACCCTAAACCCTAAACCCTAAACCCTAAACCCTAAACCCTAAACCCTAAACCCTAAACCCTAAACCCTAAACCCTAACCCTAAACCCCAGGGTCACCTTGATGCTGCTTTGGCCCGTGAACTTCGCGCTGCTGACGAAGTTGAGCGTCCCCGCGGCGACCTTGGAAGATATAGGGTTTAGGGTTTAGGGTTTTGGTTTTAGGGTTTAGGGGCTTGGTTTGAGGTTTGGGGTTTAGGGGCTTGGTTTGAGGTTTGGGGTTTGGAGAGGGTTTGGGGCTTGGGCTCGGGGTTTCGGGTTGCGGGTTCTGGGTTTGGGGTTTGGGTTTGGGGTTTGGAGTCTAGAGTTTTGGTTTGAGGTTAGGGGTTTTCGGGTTTGGGTTTTGGGTTTTGGGTTTGGTGTATACCTAGCTCCAGTATTCTGGTAGTCATAGTTAGTTACACCTAAAGGTCGATGCAATGTATACCTTCTGTTTTGAGTTGGCATACCCATAAGGTCGGGGTTGCCCTGTCTCTGTTAGGGGAGGGCACATGTGGGGTTTTAGGGTTTAGGGTTTAGGGTCCAGGGTTTAGGGTTTAGGGTTTAGGGTCTAGGGTTTAGGGTTTAGGGATGTGGGTTTTAGGCTTATGGTTTGCATGGGTGTAGGATTAGGGTGCTAGAAGGTTTCGGTGGCTTGGAAGTGCTGATGGCTTTACTTGGTAGCCCAGTGGTACCCTTCTACCCTTTGTTGGGTTCAAGGTTCCCTTTTAACGTCCCCAAACCAACACAGGGTACCCTTATTAGCATACGGGAACTGGGCTACCAAGTTTAGGGGGCTAGAGTTGAGATGGGTTCAGTTAGCAGTCGGATGTCTTAGGGCACGCACACACACACACACACTTACTTCAGATACCAGTAACATAGATGTACACCCAAGTGCCACGGGTCTCTTGCAAGGGTCCCAGTCTTATTTCCTTAATGCCGAGGTCTACCTCTCATCAGCGCTGTCGGCATTCCGCGCGGCGGGGCCGTGGCTCCTGGCTTACCTGGTCGTAAACCTGGCCGTCGCCTGAGGATTCATAAGGGCTTTGGGGGCTTTTTTGGGGAATTTGAGGATTTTTAGGGTTTAGGGCTCGCCTATAAGACTGGCACTGTACTTTTTCAAAGTGAATATTCAGAGGGTAAGCATCCACGGCCGCACGCCCGAGAATTGAAGCCCCTGCGCCTTCTCGAAGGCTGCCCACGCTTAGGGTTTGGGGTTTAGGGTTTAGGGTTAGGGGTGCATGGATGACTTGTAGGGATCACTCGCCACTTGCCCCTTGGACATTGAGATCGGACTGGAAGACAGCCTCTTCCCAGCAAGCGAGGTAAATTAGGATGGCGAGGTGCGCCCCAAAGCCTTAGCCCCCTAAACTCCTAAACCCTTAAACCATCTTAAACCCCTAAACCTAAACCCCTAAACCCTAAACCCCTAAAACCCTAAACCCCTAATCCCCTAAACCTTTCATCCCCTAAACCCTGAAAATCCCTAAACCTCAAGGGCCGTCTGTCAGGGGTTAGAAGGTATACCAGCCCTGGTAAGGTAAACGGTCATTTGGGGCTGAGGTTGTTTCCCTAAACCCTAAACCCTAAACCCTAAACCCTAAACCCTAAACCCTAATAGTGGTTTTGGGTTTAGGTCATTAAGGGTTTAGGGCTTTGGAGAGGGTTCTGATGTATGGGCCTCTGGGTTGTATAGGGTACATCCGGGGGCTAAATAAGGGGCCCCCTTTTCAGGGCCCATATTAAGGGACAATGTAGCTGCCCTTAGGGTTTAGGGCTTAGGGTTTAGGGTTTAGGGTTTAGGGTTTAGGGTTTAGGGTTTAGGGTTTAGGGTTTAGGGTTTAGGGTTTAGGGTTTAGGAGCCCAACAGCTGAACTTTAAACTTTCTGGGCATACTAAACCCTAAACGAGAAGTTTAAGCCGTTTTGCGCCAGAGTATTGGGCATCTAAGTAGGGGTGGGTTTAGGGTTTCGGGCTTAGGGCTTAGGGCTTAGGGCTTAGGGCTTAGGGCTTAGGGCTTAGGGCTTAGGGCTTAGGGCTTAGGGCTTAGGGCTTAGGGCTTACGGCTTAGAGTTTAGGGTTTAGGGTTTAGGGTTTAGGGCTTAGGGTTTAGGGTTTAGGGTTTAGGGTTTAGGGTTGTTCCTTTAAGGGATTTCAAGGCCTCTCCTTGCCTTCCCCCTTCAAGGTGTACACGGCGGTGACGACCAGCGTGCTGAAGCAGCTCTCTGCCGTCGCCCCGCCCTGAAACTGCCAGGTGATGACCCTAAACCCTTAAACCCTATACCCTATGCCCTAAAACCTAAAACCCCTAAAACCCCCAAAACCCCAAAACCCTAAAACCTAAAAGCAACGAATGCAAAGTAAAAATCACGAATAAAGTTGCCCGACAGTCCACTACGGGAGAGCCTATGGGCCAATCTGCAAGCAAAAGGCGTGGGCCCTTTTTGGGATGCCCAGGCTGTTTTCAGGCGCAGCCGCGCCACCTGCCAAACCCCAAACCCCAAACCCCAAACCCCAAACCCCAAACCCCAAACCCCAAACCCCAAACCCCAAACCCCAAACCCCAAACCCCAAACCCCAAACCCCAAACCCTAAACCCCAAACCCCAATCCCAAAACCCCAAACCCCAAACCAGGATGCATGCTCCGAGCCTTGCTGCACAGAAGCATCAAGAAGAACTGCGGCGCTCCCTGCGTGGTTCAGCTACTTATAAGCAGATGCCCCAAAGGATCCATGTACCTATATGGTATATACTTGGGCCTTAAAGGGATTCCTATATAGTAGCTTTAGGGCCCAAGTGTATACTATACAGACATGGATCCTTTGGGTGCAGTCATGGGTTCAACTTGCGAACAGGCCAAAGCCGCTGTGGCGCGGGATTTCTTCGAGGAGAAAAAGAAAGAGAAGGAACAACTCAAAGCTGGGCAAAGCTGGCAGAAAGAGCAGAGCAAGCGGCGTAACTTGCGCATGGTGGCGATGGCCAAAATGCCCAGGATCCACAGTGCAGCCAGGGAGGAGGCCATCGTCGCGGCGGACTCTGATGTGGAGCATGCAAAGCCGCCCTCCCTCCAAAAAAACGAAGAAGAAGCGCAATATTTTGAAGGCCAAGAACAAGGCAGCAAGGGCAAGTGCAGCTAATTTCATTCCAAGGGCAGTCTTGCACGCCAATCTTGCTCGAAGATAGCCACAAACGTCCCAAAATCGTATATGAGGCTTTGCAATTTGCCAGCATTCCTGCCTCAGATAGAAACCACGAAGTTGCCCAAGCCGTCAAAAAATCAAGAACAGAAAGCTACTAAAAAAACCTTCAAGAGTAGGGATACAATACAGTTGGTACGTGCTTACAACTTACACTTCCTTCCTACTTTCCTAGATGGTAATTACACTGTTGCATGCTGTTATGGAACACATCTCAGAAAGGGTGGAGTCAACAGATTCTGGATCGAAGATGTGAAGACATGTCAGGTCAGGACAGCCAGACCGGCGCCAGACCGTTCAACTTTAAACTCACCGGAGGAAGGGTCAACAGTGCTTTGTGACCCTCCAAGCAACAAGACCCGAAGTCCCCCCAAAACCCTGAACCCCTAGACCCTCAACCCTAAACCCTAAACCCTATAAACCCCTAAACCCGAAACCCCAAACCCCAAACCCTAAACCCCAAACGCTAAACCCTTAAGCTCTCAGAATCCTATGGCGGATTCATACACCAGAACCTCAAGCCCCAAATTGTGAGGTTTCAGGGCTTCGGGCATACTTGGAGGTTCATGGTGCTTCTTAACCAGTTATGATTGTACTTATAACCCACTTACAAGCCCCTTAAGTGCCCTAATATGCTTAGAAGTACAGTTATAAGTACAGTTATAACTGGTTAATAAGTGCAATGCACCTCCAAGTAGGACTTTGGTGTGGCAGAGTTGAGGGCTCAGGGTTCAGGGTTCAGGCTTGCGGCTGTAGGCTGAAGGGCCTGGGACTTGAGGGTTTGAGGGCTTAGGCTTTCAGGGGTTTCAGCGTTTAGGGTTTAGGGTTTAGGGTTTAGGGTTTAGGGTTTAGGGTTTAGGGTTTGGGGGGGGGGGGGGGGGTCAAGGACTAGTGGGTGCAAGGGGCCTTAAGGTAAGCCTCGGCTTGGGGCTTGGGGATTCGGGGTGCAGGGGCTTAAGGGTGTAATATAGGGGTCGGAATAATTACGAATAATGTTCCCTTATGTTCAAGGTTTAGGATTTAGGGTTTAGGGTTTAGGGTTAGGGCTTTGTAACAATACTAGCATAATCCCCCAAACCCTATTCTAATTATTCCGGCCCTATATTAGGATCTTCCACCCTAAAAACATATGGCTTAGCCTCTGGTGACGGCCTTGTTTGGGGTTTCGGTAGGGCTTCGGATCCCAACAGCTGCTCATCTTTGGCCGGCTGAGGTCTTCTTGCTCATCAATGTTCTCAATGTCCCGACGCTCAGGGTGTAGGAGTTTGGACTTGATCTGGCAATGGGGCTTCAGGGTTACAGGTTCAGGTTCAACTATGTAAGGTTTAGGGTTTGAGGGAATTTCGTCTTTAGGATGTCGATGGGCAGAGGAAGTCTATGAATGTGCGCAGCGCGTGTGCGGCCTTTGCTTACATGTGGGAGTCTCCAAGAAGCAGGGTCCGCTTTAGATTCCCAGGAAGGGACCCCAGACCTGAACCTTAAACCCTAAACCCTGAAACAGTTCCCCTACTACCCCCTTCTATGCTACCGGGTCTCAGAAGTGTACTCCCCTAACAGAAAAGCCCACCCTACCTCCCAAGCTTCAAGATTACGCATACCACGCGAACATACTGCAAGTAATGAACCCTAAACTCTAAACCCTAAACCCAAGCCTAAGCCCTAAAGCCCTAAAGCCCTAAAGCCCGAAAGCCCGAAAGCCCGAAAGCCCGAAAGCCCTAAAGCCCTAAAGCCCTAAAGCCCTAAAGCCCTAAAGCCCTAAAGCCCTAAAGCCCTAAAGCCCTAAAGCCCTAAAGCCCTAAAGCCCTAAAGCCCAAATTCCAAAGGCCTAAAACCCAAAAGCCCTAAAGCCCTAAAGCCCTACAGCCCTAAAACCCTAAAACCCTAAAACCCTAAACCCTAAACCCTAAACCCTAAACCGCTACGCGACCTGCCTCGGCCCCGGCCGGTGGCCACAGCAGCGGGGAGGCACGGTCGCCGCAGCAGCTAGAGCGCCTCTGGTTTGAGGTGTAGGGTTTAGGGTTTAGGGTTTAGGGTGCTTAAGAACCCCCCCGCTGTCTAGTTTAAGAAGGTCTATTCCCTAAACCCTAAACCCTGCAAACCATCCTTCGGGGGTGAAGGGCTTAGGGTTTAGGGTTTAGGGTTTAGGGTTTAGGGTTTAGGGTGGCCCCGAAAATTTTGGGCTTCAGGTTCCACTGGTCTCGCTCTTCTTCTGCTTCAACCTGCCCCTTCTGGGGGCCGCACCCTTCCGGTGGAGCTTCGTCCTGGGGCCACTTGGCTTTGGGTGTTTAGGGTTTAGGGTTTAGGGTTTAGGGTTTAGGGTTTAGGGTTTAGGGTTTAGGGTTTAGGGTTTAGGGTTTAGGGTTTAGGGTTTAGGGTTTAGGGTTTAGGTGTGGGGGAGGGTGGGGGGGTTTCGGGGTTTGGGAAGATGGGGCAAGGCTAAGTTTTTTGTTTGGCGAGGGGGGGGGGGGGGGGGGGGAGTGGGGGGGTTAGGGTTTAGGTTTTTTTTTGGGGGGGAAGTGGGTTTTCTCTTCATTTCCGTTGGAGATAGAGAGGGCTCTTTCTCAGTGATTCTTTCGGGGCTGGGGCAGAGAATTCAGTGTTCGGCATTATCGCCTAAACCCTTTTAGTGTTTGGAGTTGTGCCGGGCTTCAGTGAAGGCTAAGTATTTAGGGTTCAGCATCTCAAGTCCGTCAGCACATTGAGTCTAGGTCAATAAGCCCCAATCAGCAAAACAGTTTTACACGTTAAGCCAAGACGTGCCAACAATCAAAAGCAAACAAGCCTTCAGCCAAGACGCGCCAACAAACAAATCCATGAGGGAGGCTCCGAATCCCAAACCCTTTCTAAAGTAAGGTACCTCATTACCCTACTAGGACCCAGTTTAGGCCCTTAAACACTTGTTTTAGGGCTTGGGTTCCCTTTTAAGCCCCATTTTACACCAAAAAGGCCACCCTTTTTGATCCTAGCTTATAAACCCTACACCCTAAACACTCAACCCTCAACCCTAAACCCTAAACCATACCCCCCCCCCCCCCTGGTAAGAACCAGTAGGGCTTCGGGTGTAGAAGCCGAGGTTGGCGATCATCATCGTGGGACTGCTGACGTATAATTACAAGACCCTGCTCAAGTCCAAGTGATGCCGGACTTCTCCAATCGAGAAGGGCAAAAGTCCGGCTTAGGGTTTAGGGTTAAGGGGTTTAGGGGTTTAGGGGTTTAGGGGTTTAGGGGTTTAGGGGTTTAGGGGTTTAGGAGGTTAGGGGTTTAGGGGTTTAGGGGCTTAGGGGCTTAGGGTTTCGGGTTTAGTGTTTAGGGTTTAGGGTTAGGGTTTAGGGCTTGGCCTGCGGGACCCCACGAGGTTGAGAGTAGAAAGGTTTGAGTTTTAGTCAGGGTGTCGGGGGGTTTAGGGTTTAGGGTTTAGGGTTTAGGGTTTGAGGTTTAGGGTTTAGGGTTTAGGGTTTAGGGTCCAGGGTCCAGGGTCTAGGGTTTGGGGTCTCGAAACCTTTAACCCCTACAAGACCCAACCTCGAGCGCATTTCCTGTACTTGGAGGATCGTGGGACCTGGTAAGTAGGTAAGAGGTAGAGTCGTAACCACCTTTCCAGAGACCCGGATTTCGGGCGATCCTTTTCAGCAGCCCTACTTAGTCCCACTCCACCAAGTATACCATCCTAAACCGTGCGTTAGGGTTTTTTTGCAGGAAGGAGGCCAAACCCCAAACCCTAAACCCTCACCAAGCACGAAAAGCACCGCATCCCAGGTCCTACGCAACCTCAACAACCTCTACTTATGTGCTGACTAGTAAACCTGCTCTAAAGCCCAGAGGTCATCTTGTCCCGAGGGGTTCTCAGAGAGTAAGTCTAGGCCCTATGAACCCCTAAGCCCTTGTCCGTAGGGGAAGGTTCTCTCATTCTCCATCCTTAAGCCCATTGCACCACCTAAACCCGAAGCCCGACCTAACAACCTAAGCCTAAGCACGCTGACTCCCACAGAAGCGTTCCGATTCTATTCCTGGGCTCGTCTAGGGTTTAGGGTTTAGGGTTTAGGGTTTAGGGTTTAGGGTTTAGGGTTTAGGGTTTAGGGTTTAGGGTTTCGGGATTTCGGAGTGTAACATAAAGGTCACATGTTATATAAATGGGGGTGAGAAGTGTCGTACTATTCGGCCGGTCAGGGGGGCCGGCATTTTCAAGTTGCAGAAGGTGTGGAGCCCGTATTCCTAACCTCATATGTATTTTTGTACATGTCTATGAAAATAAAGAATAGATAAAGAATGGGATCCGGTGCCAGTAATAAAGGTGACTACTAGGCTCAGAATCCAAAATCTTTCTGCAGGTGCTTCAGAGTTGAATTGCGGAGAAGCTTTTTCATCAGAGCTGGCGAGAAACAGCTCCAGAGGCTCAGACCCCAAGCCCCCTGCTTTCTTAGCCACCCCCGAAGCCCCCCAGAAAGAAAACAGATGTTTTTGGGGCCGGGGGTGGCCGGGGCTTGTTAATGTCACCCCTACATTGCCGGCTTCGGTTTTGCGGATTCCTGACGCCCTAATCCCTCCTAAACCCCGAACCTCAACCGACCCGAAACAGAAGCTTCAAGCCAAAAACATCAACCGACCCGAGAGCGTGAGCTCAAGATCCAAGATCTCAGGCACAAGCGATGTGCACATGTGGGAGGATGTTCTTTAAGGGACGAATCGTACTTTCCAATATTATTCCCTTATGGCTCCTATTTAATTATACTATAACAACCCCCAAAACCCCAGTAACTACCCCTAAACCCTTAACCCTAACCCCTAGACCCCTAAACCCCTAAAGCCTAAACCCTAAACCCTAAACCCTACAACCCTAAACCCTAAGCCCTATTCTAAATCTGAAGGCCCCTGCAAGTACAGAGGGGTCCTGATTTCGATCAGCAGCCATCTTGTGACCTCGATGTCATGCGCTGGCGCCA